TATATATATATATATATATATATATGAGATGCTTTTATTCAGCAAAGGCATATTAAAGTGACAGTAAAGGCATTTATAATGTTGCAAAAGATTTCTATATCAAATGAATGCTGTGCTTTTGAACTCTGTCAAAAGAAGAGTCCTGAAAAAAGTTATCAGTTTCTACAAAAATATGAAGCAGCACAACTGTTTTCAACATTGATGATTATAAGAAATGCAGCAAAGCAGCACATTAGAATGATTACTGAAGGATCTGACACTGAAGACTGGAGTAATGATGCTGAAAATTCATCTTTTCTTCACAGGAATAAATTACATTTTAAAATGTTTGAATAGAAAACAATGATTTTAAATTGTAATACTATTTCGTAATATTAGTATTTTACTGTATTTTTGAACTAATAAATGCAGCCTTGATTAACACTTTTAAAAAAAAATCTTACCGACGCCAAACCTTTGTACTGTTGTGTACTGTATACTATTGTATTTATTTATTACAATTAGAAATAATACACAATGAGTGCCAATGAGCAACTGAAACCAGGTTTATTTTAAGAAATAACCCAACCCAAACATGAAAATGCAGTTAATTGCTCTTCTGAGACATCTGTTTAAAATGAGTGTCTTTATTAAGCTGTAGCTATTTTTATTTTAGAGAGGTATCTCTTTGAATGTCAACTAATTCACTTGATCTAAATGTCTGTTTCTATTTTTGTTCATTTGTAGGGGTGTTGGTCCGGGTTGTAACACGCGTGAAATTGCAGACAAGCTGATAGACCTCAAGTTGGAATTGGAGGATCTTGACAAGAGGGAACATGAACTGGACCAGCAGAGAGTTTGGGTTCAGCAGAGCATCAAGAACGTGACAGACGACTCTCTAAATAGCCCATATCCTTCTAGCTACATCTTTAGTAGGGATGTAACGATTCACTCAACTCACGATTCGATTCGATTCACGATTTTTTTTTTTTTTACAAAATGAGATTTAAGACATTATAAATTAAATGTGTCCTTTTATTATTGCTTAGACAAAATACTGTACATTTCTTTGTGAAATTGAAATATAACACTATAATAATATACTAATATAGCACTTGAATATTATTGCTCTTTTGTTGGTTTTGATTGCTTCTATTGTCCTCATTTGTTTAGCGTTTGCTAAATAAAAAAATTTGAATTAAATGTAAATAACAAAACTAAATTGAAAATTTAAAACAAGCCCCAAATCAAATAAATAACACAAATAAAATAAATCTCTTCATATAAACAAAATAAGGCTTTGTCTGTGCTCTTTCCATTTTTTTGTTTTCATTTTTGAAAAACGTATCTTTGCTGTTTACCTCATATTACGCTATGGAGGCTCTCTTATATTTATTTATTTGATTCCTCAGTGTTTGCTAAACGTTCTGTAATTTATTAGTCGGTATATAATACAGCATGTGGTGTGTGCCATGCCTCATCTTATTCGTTTTTGTTAATAAACGTTTTGTAAGCTAGTTTGTCATTGTATCGCAAAAGAGCGACCAGTGGTAAGAATGAGTCTGGAGCCCTGATATGCATTATACAGAGGCAAGAGGAAAAGAAAAAATACCATCGAAAGACCGTAAGTTCCCCTCAGACATACATTCATATAAACTCCTACCCCTAACTGAATCGCGATTTGTTTAGCATCTCAACCGATTTGAATCGTCACATATTTGAATCGATTTTCAACCGGCTCGCGGTTAATCGTTACATCCCTAATCTTTAGGATTCATTTTACGAGTGTTGTGACCAAGGTACAGCGCTTAAAGGATAAGTTCACTTCCAGAATAAAAATTTCCTGATAATTTACTCACCCCCATGTCATCCAAGATGTTCATGTCTTTCTTTCTTCAGTCGCAAAGAAATTAGTTTTTTTGAGGAAAACATTCCGTGAGTTTTGACCATATAGTGGCCACCTTTGAAGTCAACTATATGGAGAAAAATCCTGGAATGTTTTCCTCAAAAAAATTACTTTCTTTGCAACTGAAGAAAGAAAGACATGAACATCTTTGGATGACATGGGGGTGAGTAAATTATTAGGAAATGTTTATCCTGGACGTGAACTTACCCTTTTTAAAGTCTAGGTTGTTTTAGCTCAAGGTGCTCTTATGATACTTGAAATTGATCCTCGAAGTGAAGTTTGTATTTGAAAGCTTATGTTTGCTGTATGTCCTTAACTTGACACACTCTGGCGTATGTAACGCATCAAGACCTCTGCAATTGCTTCAAAGGTTGGTTTTTCCCATCAGACACCCAACAAAACACCAGTGTTACTGCATTAACAAAAATCACCAGTCATAAAGCTGCAAATGACTACTTGTTTTGATGTTTCCTAATTAACGTTAACTGTATATATGCTTGTCTGCCACTAGGTGACACTCTTTTAGCAATCAGAGCTCCTTCAGGAACACAGCTGGAGGTTCCTGTGCCTGAATCTGTAAGTCCTGCTTGTATGTACATTAACAAGTCACGTGGAAAGCTTATATATTTATATAAAAAATAAGTACACTTTATTATTGTAATTTTTTTTAGCATGTTAATGGACAAAAGAAGTACCAGATTCACCTGAAGAGTTCTGCAGGCCCCATCGAGGTCCTGCTGGTGAATAAGGACCCCTCTAGTTCTTCTCCAGTGGTGCTGCCCGTGCCTCCGCCTGACGACATGCTTCAGAGCCTGTCCACCCCAGCTTCAACTACCTCTGCTGCTGTTGCACCCACCAAACCGGCAGCCAACAGTACGCCCACCTCCACCTGCCAGAGTCCCAGCACCACCACTGCCGCCGCCGTCCCTCCCAACACAACCACTGCCTCTGCTGCTGGGGCAGCTACAGGTTGGATGCTGCCCATATTTGAATGAATTATTGTGTCTGAAAATGCTCTGTTTGTTGTCTTATTGTACTATGATTTACACCATGGCAAAGTTGGTTATGTAATGAAGGATTATATATTGTTATCATTATATATAATATTACCAATTATATATTTTAAGGTCTCTTATGTTCACCAAGGCTGCATTTATTTAATCAAAAATATTGTACAAACTGTAATTTTGTAAAACGTTACAGATAAAAATAATTGTTTTCTGTTTGAATAATATTTCAAAATGTAATTTATTCCTTTGACGCGAAGCTGCATTTTTTGCATCATTACTTCAGTCTTCAGTGTCACATGATCTTCAGAAATCATTCTAATATGCTGCTGATTTACTGCTCAAGAAACATTTATCAATGTTGAAAACAGTTGTGCGGCTTAATGTTTTTGTGGAAATGGTGATACACAAAAGTTATGTAACATAAATTTTTTTTTTTTTTTTAAATACGCACACATTAAATTGATCAAAGATGTTTGTTACATAAGATTTTTATTTCAAATAAATGCTGTTCTTATGAATGTTTACTGATCAGAAAGTCCTGAAAGAAAAAACTTTTTCCAACATTAATGATAATAAGAACCATTACCAATAATTAAGCACCATTATTAACTGATGATAACTGAGCTGCAAATCGGCATATTAGAATGATTTCTGAAGGATCAAGGGACACTAAGAACTGGCATAATTCAGTTTTACCATCACAGGAATAAATCACATTTGAAAATATATTCAAATTACAAATGACAATATTGTAATATTTTACAATATTACGGTTTTGACTATTTAAAAAAATAAATAAATGCATAATACATATAAATACATAAGGGACTTCTTTCAAAAACATTTTAAAAAATCCTAATTCTTCTAAACTTTTGACCAGTAGTGTATATTGTTCATGTAATTACATAATATGTATTATTATCATTATGTAACTATAGAATTATATAAAATGAAATGTATAATTTCTCACTGTATTACGGTGGTTGTTGTTATTATTAGACATTTCAAGCACCTCCACTTCAGATACAACAGCCAATCCGACATCAACAGACACGCAGCAGCTTCAGTCTTCTGCGTCATTGGACAGCAGCTCTTCACTTCCTGATTCCTCAACCCTTTTTGAACCAATCAAAACAGACCCTTCAGATCGTAAGTGCCTATGATTTTGAAAATGAGCATGATTCTGTCATTAATCTTTATTTAAAGAAATGTTGGGTGTCGAGTCTGGCTTGGGACAATACCATAAAAGTGATAAATTAACATTCCTTTCTCTTTGTTTTCTCAGTGCTGGATCTCCCCAAAGAACTTTCAGAAATGTTTGACCCTAAAGGTGAGGTCAAACATGTTTAACATTTGCTGCTCCTTCCTGATGCTTATCTATCGCTGATGTGCTTAACTCAACCAGAGAATCTGTGATTTTATATAGCACACAGAAAAATTGTTTTCATATTTGTCATATTTCCTTCTTTCTCCATACAGAAATTATGAGTACAGATTTGCTCGAGGAGCTGATGTCATCAGAAGGTAAAGGCGATCATGAGTCAGGCCACCTGTATATAGTCTATTACTAAACATGAAATGGAAGTGTGGATGTATATATGTTTGTGTTTTATGTATATAACAAATCCACTGTTTATGTATTATATGATGTTTATAAAATCAATAAAAGTAATTAAAATTTGACCATCAACTGAAATTTGATCCATTTTAGATGCTAAATGCTCAAACGAGCGACGGTTTCATATGGTTACACAAACATGGCCACGGTATCACTCTTCTTCTCTCTTTCTCTTTCATAGTTTTCTCTCCGCTCCTCCGTCTATCCCCTCCTCCGGGTGACCATGACTACATCTATAACCTGGATGAGACGGAGGGCCTTTGTGACCTCTTTGACGTTCCCATTGCCAACCTTTGACCTCCAAACACACCCGTACAATGAGAGTAGTGTACTTAAAAGAGCTTTCTTTTTTCATGTACCCTTTTGAAAGGAGAGAAAAAAAGAAAGTGTGGCTCTGTGTCAGATCCATATGTATGATAAGCTGATTCTGTGTGTATATAAAGCTTTTTTTATATGTGTATATTTACTCCAACCCCAAAGCGGCTGACTGAAAATGAACGTCCCCTGCTAAATTTAACTGATCCAATGACGACATCAGACATCCATACAAACCATTTTTGTTAATTAGTCCCAAACTAATTGTTTTTATACTACTTTTGTATAGACATGGAGGGAATGTCATGACTAAATTCACCAGCAGAGGTTAATGGTTCAATGAAAATACCAGCTAGATGTTTCTTTTTAAATGGTCTTCCTCTTCTAAAGTAGCACCTTTTCCTCCCTCTCGTTCAGTGTATTTACTGATTTACTTTATTACTGATCTGGACACGACTATTATACAGATTGTTAATGAAACGGTGTATTACTTGTGTGATTATGCTTTTTAAGAAAGCATTCTTACATTTTGAAGCGATTCTGCCAGTAGGAAGAAGTTTGTTCTCATCTTGCAGCTCTCGGAAACACCGTGCGGAAGTAATTAAGTTAGACTAATAACGTAGTGGGGAAGATTGCATTGCAGAATAGCGTGTTTTGTGTGGAATTGATACAGTTTGGTGCTACATGGCGAAATCTATCGGCGTCGGTTCTCAGAAAAAGTGAAGGAACATACTTAAAGGGTTGGATGAACCATTCCTGCTTTGTCTGTTTCAGCTGTGCTTTTTTAATACTATGTGTCTCGCTCACAAAATGACGAAAGCTCATTTTCATCAGAATTAAAAATAAAAAGTTAATTGCAACTTTTTAATGAACTTTTTCTCAGCGATTCAGAGAAGAAAAACAAAGGGAATCGCAACGGAAAGAAAAAATCTGAATTTTGTGGAAGTTGCAACTATCTTTTTATTCTGTTTGAAACTAAAAAACTCGTAGAATTCAGAGAAAAAAGTTTGAATTGCTCAGAATTACGGGAAAGTCAGAATTCTGTGTTTATATCTCAGAATTCTGAGAATTTTTTTTCTATGAATTCCAAGAACTTGAGAAGTTTTTATTTAAATTTTTTTTTAATTCTGTGGCGGGAGACTGGTTTTCATAGAACTTGAGAAGTTTTTATTTAAATTTTTTTTTAATTCTGTGGCGGGAGACTGGTTTTCATATAAATGGCTAGCTTGCAGTGTTTGAATATGAGTTTAACCTTGTTTAATGGAGTAACTGCTGTGGAAAGGTCACATAAGGTCCTGTACAAATGTTAAATTAGATGCCAGTTGCTATTTTTGTGTTTTAAGACATCGTCCCTCCCTATGATTTCAGTCCATAAAGTACATCTGTCCTTATCCCATTTATATATGTGTATAGATACTTTTGAAAATAAGTGACGTCTTCATTATGTCTGTATATGAGAAACTGTCTAAAGGAGGATGTGTTTGGGGAGCGGGGGAAGTAAAGTCACAATATGACAAGAAATAGAGTATCAATGTGCTATGTATTGAGCACTGTCCAAACAGAATGTCATTATATGTGGGCTCCTGACTATGTCCGTACTGATGGTTGGCCCCACTAAAATAGTTTCTTGCTTTCCTACTGTTCCTAACAGCTAAATGATATTTTTATGCTCGTACGCAGTAAGCATTTGCCATTTATTTTTGTACTCCACTGCTCTGGTTTTCTTTAGATAAATAGTCAGCAGTTTCTTCTGTCTAGCTTATCTCCACATTGCACTTTAAAACAGTTTATCACGCAGGTAACTTCCAGCCCTATGCATTGATTGGGTTGGCCGAGTCAGTTTTACAGTATCCAGGGAATTCAAGCAGTTTTCAAATCTTCACTGTGTCGTTGCAAAATACCAGAATTGGTGTTCTTTACTGGAATTGTCATCCCCATGAAATAAAGAATGTTTTTGTATTTGTGATGCTCTTGAATATATCTCTGTTTGATTTTAAGGCATTTGTTCCTACTTTGCTTCCTTTTTTTTAAACCTAATTGCTTAGGAGTATGTCATACTGCATCTAGGTGCTTGAGTCATATCCTGCAGATCCAGGCATTTCTGTTCAAGTTTCACTTGAATAGGTCTATTGTAGTGTAGCGGTTTAAAATTCGGGTTGGTAACATAGTTTGAGTGTTTGAACCCCTCAAGGATGAATCCAAAATATTACTATTCTGCTTTAAGGCACCAACCTTGGGTTTTTAGTTGGTAACTTACTTAAATGTAAATAAATAACATTGTTTAGCTATTATATAAGGAAGTCAAATAGTTTAGCTATTATATAAGGAAGTCAAAGAGTTATTTTATCTTTTTGTAATCAGTCACACCAACATAAATTGCATTAATTATAGCAGCATTGTTTGGTTGTTTGTGTCAGGATAATTCTTTATATACGTCAACAAATCTACTGTTATACTTAAATATCTCAAAAACTTAAGTGTTTTGTTTTACATTTTAATTTACTATTGAAGATAGATACTATATTAATAATAGAATGTACTGGTGATGAAAAAACTGTGAAACTGTATTACATAATTGTATTAATTAAATTGGTCAACAAACTATTTAACATTATTTATTAAATGCTGTTGTTGTGTAGGATATTAATCCATGAAAACACACTGATGCAAAAAAAAGTTGCATAGCTTACAAACAAAAAAAAATGAAATAGGTAAATAAAAATGAAAGAAAAAAACTTGCATTAAGATATAATTGTTATACAGGACTCAATATAACGCCAAAAATTTATTTTTTATTAAATTGTATTTCTTATTGTATTCTTCTTATTAGTATTTTTAAATACTCAATTTAAAGTAGAAACTCTGTAGATCTAGGTTGTTTATGAATAATGAAGTGGTAATAAAATATGTAAGTTAGCAGATTCAGATATTTCCCATATATGTGTTTATGGACAATACAGTCTATAGGGAAATATCACGTCTAACTTGCACTGTAAACAGCTGCGTTGATCGTATATATAGCGTTTAGTTTTGTAGCGTTATGTTTACTGTAAAGTTTCGGGTCTCCCCTCTTGGTCCCTCAAAAAAAAAAGGAAAAAATCCCACAAACTTGGAGAGTCGGGTCTCCGCTCCCTCCTCCAGGGGGCGGGAGGGACATTATTCAACCCGGAACTGTGAATGTGATCAATTAGAACTCTCCGAAAACTTGGAACGAAATGTAACAGCCGATCGTGCGAAAAGAATCAAATCACTGTCGCCGTTTCGCGCGAACAAAGCGCAAATGTTTATCCGCTCCGCTGCTCCGCGATCTCGCAGAGAGTGATTTTTTCCTGCTCTCCAACAGGTAAGACGAAAGAAAATAACTTTTGTTCGAAACACTTTTAGGCTGCTACTTCTCTCGAACGCTAAACAAGTCAAAACAGATTTAAACGTGTAAATATTTACATACACCTATTCGTTTTGTATTGGAAACTCATTGAACTATTGTTATGAATAGAACAACGAAGCTTCAAACGCAAGTTTGTTTCTGTTGGTATTTTGAAGCCTCTAAAACCCAGCGTTCCATATCGTTTAAATCTAAATGCTCTGTCGGGTTTATATGCAAATAGCTTTTAATTGAATAAACGGTTTCCTTATAAATCTTTTGTACTTTACGTCAATTATTAGTGCATAGCCACGCTCATGAAATATTCAAACATGTGACTAATAGTCTTTGTAGCCGTTTTGGATTTGCTAAAGGAGGATTTGATTGAGAAATCCAATGAAACTTTGCAGGAAAAGTGTGTGATGTCTGCTTTGGAGGTTGTTGGTCTGTCTGTCTGTCAGAGCAGAGGGTGGCACGGATGAAATTCCAGGCAGCCTGATTTCTTCCATTCACTCCCACTGGAGATCAGACTCTATCAGACATGCACAGGGTTCAAAGGGCAAGAATCAGTCGGGAATGCTGTCAGTGGACCCTGAAGTAGTCGGTGTATCTCGTTTTGACGGTTTCGTTCTTGTTGTAGCCATTTCTCAACCCCAAAAAATAGTGGCAGAAGGGTAGGGCTGTCACAACTTCTCTCTGAGCGTGCTGAGGCATGCTGGGAATGGATTCTGGGAAACACAAACATTCAGTCTGTGTCAGCAGCTTTTACCAAAAGCCTTGGACGGAAGGCCGTGTCTTACAAGTAGTTTAATCAGCTTGAAAAAGCTCATTAATATGAGGAGGTTTTCAATCATGTGGTTTAGATTAGTTAACTTTCTGTGAATAATCTCTATAAATCCCAGAGATGTGATAGAAGTTTTAGCTGAAATCTTGTTTTGGGCCCATTAGTGTATTTTATTGTCCAAGTTCACTCAAAAACAGCTTTCCCTCTTCCATTGGGAAGTCTTCTGAGGACACATGTGGAAGTACTTGAGTCTGTTTAACAATCCTTAATAAAGCAGCCGTGTGCTTGTGCGTATAGTAGTAGTTTCAGCCTCCGATGGCACACTCATGGGCCGCCACAATCTGTTCACTGACTGTCTGAAGCGTATTGCATGCAAAAATAAGAAAAGATGACTGAAATCACACGTTTCTTTCTGATTGGCTGGCTTTAAAGGAGTATTTCTCCATAAAATGAAAATTCAGTTATCATTTACTCTCCCTCGTGTTCCAAACCTGTGACTTTTTTTTTTTTTTTTCAAGCACAAAAGATATTTTGGGAAATATCTCAATGTTGTTTGTCCATACAATGAAAATCATAGGGGCCACTGTTGTTTTGGACCCCCTTGTCTTGTACTATAAATAGTTAAATATAAAGAAAATACATATTCAATACATAGTCTTGTATATAAATACAAGAAAATACATAAGTATCTGCTTGTGTGTTCCACAGAAAAAAGGAAGTCATGCAGGTTTGGAATGACATGATTACTGAATTTTCGTTTTTGTCAACTATGAACTTTTGAGGAAGAAGAATTTGTAAGGTTATTATTGACGTCAAATCCTTGAACGATAATGAGAGTTTTGTTTAACACTTAGCGGCAAGTTTGATATTCATGAACATCACTGCATTTCCTGTATGGTTTTTTTATACTTAAAATAAAACTGTACTTTTTTGTGATCAGTAGAAGATAGAAATTCGTACAGGTTTGGAATGACATGAGGATAAATAATGACAGAATTGTCATTTTTATCACTTTAAAATTTTTTTTCACTTTTCACTGTAGGACGGGGTGTAAAATAAACTGTGGTTGGTCTAGACTTAGACTAGTCTTAAAGGGATACTTCACCCAAAAATGAAAATTCTGTCATTATTTACTCACCCTCAAGTTAATCCAAACCTGAATGAATTTGTTTCTTCTGCTGAGCACAAAAGAAGATACTTTGAAGAATGTGGTTAACTGAACAGTTGATGGCCCCCATTGACTTCCATAGAATGGAAAAAATACTATGGGAGTCAAAGGAGACCAGCAACGCTTTGTGTAAATGATGACAGATTTTTGAGTGAACTATCCCTTTAAGGCTGATAGTCACAAGTGTAGGAGGCAAGTGAAAAACGAGAGCACTTGCTACACCATTAATCCCAGCATGCTGACGTATTGTAACATATAGCACAACCTGAGAGAGACACAAGTTCTCTTTTAAAAGAGGAAGACGGTAAACACAGAACACACAGTCAATCTGGAAATAGAATGAATGACACATGTAACATCCTAGGTCTTGTCCACACTCTTCACCTCAGTGGCATTTTTGTATGTTTTGAAATATGTCAATATTTGTGTTTGGTTGGCACATTTCATAAACTTTGAAATGAAAGGTATGTAACATTAAACCGAGCACTCATTCTTTGAATACTTGTAGGCTGATTTTAGTATTTATTTCCTGATTTTTCCCCCCACTC